GCAGTTGAAATGAATCGCGAATATGAAGTTAGGGGTGGTGCTAGATATAATGCCTCTCAAGATTCGGAATGTTTATTTAATGCGTCCTACTCCAACGTGTCACTTGAAAGTTCTCGTTCATCAAGCATTGTAGAGGGCCAAATAAAAATCAAAAGAAGTCCAAGTTACATCTTTGAACTTGGTGACAGTTTTGAGCACATAGGGCAATCAGAATCACTATTTGGTTCACCGGAAACTACTTCAATGCCAAATCTTAGTTACCTTGACGCTGATGAGGCTGAGAGTGCAACGGCGGACCCTCCCCGATGCATGTCCGCCGTCCCTGATCTATTTCATGATTCTTTTAGTGATGATGGTGCCGTTAACTATGTCAATCTATCATCGTTCTTGAAGAATCAAGATGAGATTTATCAATCTTTGCTAGCAAAGCTTCCTGCTAACACCAAAGCCAAAAGTGAAATGGTTCCAACGATCGAAAATTCTCCTGAATCTCAGGCATTGACGAGTACCTTGAAAGAAGTCACCGAAACTGAAACTCTTACAAAAGCACCAGCACATTATTCGACAGTCAATTCAATGGAATTAATGTCTGGCCCTGAATGTAGGATTGGCGCGTCTTGTCAAAGCAGCCCCTGTGACATTGAAATGGAACTCCTTGTTTTACCTATGGTAGATGATTTTTCAAAAGTGGAATTACGTATACCTTCCGCATCCCTTTCTGCAGAGAAAAAAAGGGTCTTGAAAAGGGTATGCACTTTTGAATATCATATGGCTTGCACAATAGATCGCTGCCGAGAATGAATTAACAATTTTGAATTTTGGGAAGGGTGGTACAAAATATACTGTTGTTCGTAAGAAAACTGCACTACTACAAAAGCAGGCCGCTCAGAGAGAAGCAGAATTAGAGGCAGAAAGGCAGCGACAGCAACTTTTAGAAGAAGCAAGACTTGCGGCTGATTGTAAGTAGATATTTTGCGCAAGTACAATTTTGCTTTACTGATATTTCCTAAACATGCTGTAAGTTTCATTATAGCCCAAGTTACCAGCGATTCTGCGATTTGTGTTGCCTCCATTCAAACAACGCCTAGTGAGACTCAGCTCATGCCTAGTGAGGTGAGTATGATTAAACCTAAAAGTTTTGATCTGTGGCACCTAGTTGACCGGTTTTATTTAGTCTTCGGTAAAGAGCAACAGAGCTACAGAACGAAGGAATAATAAACGAAGGAAAGAGATTGTATCGTGTAATACTGAGGTCTCAATGAATTCCGCAGCGAGGCGCAAGGCGCGCCGAGCTGCAGAAAGGGAAGAGGCCAGAAAGGCAGAGGCTGCTTTGCGTAAGAGAGAACGAAGAAGAAGAGAAACTGCCATACAGACTTGTCCACCGAACTGGATTATTTGCCCATGGTGTAAACAGGTCAGTATTGGAATTTATTGCGCAATTGTAATTAGGTTTTGCATACCTAAGGACTTATTTTATAAGTTAAGCCTTATGATGTTCAGTCTGTTTGTATTTTGAAAGCTTAAGCCTATTCTTTTTTACCTATCGACTTTTATTGAAAATATCTTCTGCATGCAATAAGAGTAACACAAATTACTAAACCAGTGTCAAATTAGTCACCTGAAATCAAATTTTGTTCATTGAGTGTTTTATATTCTGGATTGAAAGGATACAACACTGCTACCCGACTCCAACCACGCGTTTGGTGACGGGGAGCTATTAGGGATCATTAATTCCATAATTCTTTGTTTTCTTCTTTAAAACGAATATGGATGCGGATATACGATTCCTTGATTTTGCAGGGCGCGGTCCTTGGCAAGATCAGACAAGTAATGTAGGCAGCGTCTGTAGGTGAAAATTGGTAAAAGTCTGTAACCACCTTCTGTTCTCAATTTTTTTGCTAATTCATCACAGAAAAACAGAGGTTTGCTTCTACTAGAATGACTTTAAAAAAGAGAAAGCTTGCTTATGATTACTCACTGCGGATGAATTAATTATGATTGAAGCCGAGGCTAAAAGTGGTCAGCTCGACTGCTTCAGCTCTCTCCTACCTCCTCGGTTATTTCTTTTATGAGAAAGCTGTTGTCGATCATATTTTACTTGCGTTTACAATCTCGTGGCGATTCCTTCAAAACAATAACAAACACTTGCTTCTTAACCTACAATTTCCTTATTCATAATTCAATTTAATGCAAGCGAACTTTTATTGGATGAATTCTTGAGCCATAATTGGGTCATGCTATCCAGAGCCTCGGTGAACATTTTGCACCATAAATAGTTTTAATACCCGGATGTTCGACTTTTTTCTTGTCTGATTCAGGACATTCCACCGGCGGAACAATGTGGGCACATAGGACTGTGCAGGGCGGCCTACCATCAGCGAAATCGAGAGGCGAAGGCACAGGCACAATTGCAGAACTACCGGATCGCCACAGAGAATGCAAGACGTCGAAAACAGAATTTACCACTCCTCAACCCCGTTCAGCAGGTCAAACGTACCCAGATGGTGGAATGGGAACGTAATCATGGCAAGAGTGCTTCGAGACGGCAGCCCAGTCATTCGCGTACGAGATCAGTAAGTTGAACGCCCCGCAAGCAGGACGCCGACTTTTTTCAAGTCAAGAGTAGAATGCATTTTTGAGAAGCGTCTCTGGTTTGATAATCAAAAATGGAACAAAATGTGAAGAACGATCAAGATAATTGAACTCATAGAATTGATAGTTTGGCACTGACGCTAAACTTGTTTGCGCAACAGATATTCTGCGGTTTTAAAACCAATTTTCTCCTGCTTCAAATCATATCTGCGGGTCTCTTGCTCCCTTGCTTAAGTTTACTTACTTACCCACACAAATCGTCAATTTAGGAGGCCCCTATTACATTAGACTTGAGTTTAAGCTTGTAAAAAGCTGCAGTAGCTACCAAAATGCATGGTGCACTATCGTGAGCAAATCATACAATCAATCCAAAGGTAGCTTTTCTGTTCTGTGTCAATTTTAACATCACATGAGTGTGTTCGCGCCAGTGTGCGCATGCGTAATTTTGCATGACTGTGCAAGTATACAACAACCTCTAAGTTTTCGCGTCGTCATAGTAATGACCTTATTTGAATACATTTGAGCGCTAAATTCAAACTACGGGCAAACTACGTTCTTTCAGACGACAGATTTTACTTTTGAATACGCTTTAAGTGTCTCGTTGCAGCATTTATAATGTCAGATAATGTTAACGCCTAACATTAACAGTTAAATTAATAACGGGTACGAAAGTTTAAACCTTTAGAAGTGGCTAAGGAACTATTAAAGGTGTACAAGTTATTCAAGAGATGCCAATGCTGACAAAACCCCAATCCGAGACGCTAATTTTACTTTGCTACTTACAAAATAAAAGTAAACAATTTTCTTTTGAAGGTTGATGGTGGTATATCAGCAACCCTGAAGAAGCAGGCGGTGATTGCAGCCCAGCTAAAGGAGGTTCATCCAAATGATGTCAACGGCATGCTCCACGCCACACAACGTGTTTGTGCACTGTCAAACTGTGCACATTTAATTACCTCTTCTGCCGGTGGTCCCTGTGCTTACTGTCGTTTGAACCTTTGTGCCCAGCATCGACCTCCACACATTGGACATTACTGTCCCACCGCACCACAAGCTAGGGCAAAAAAGGCACTGTCCAATGGGCAGATTGAAGTAGCGTGCGGAATTGAGGCAGCGGAAAGACAAGCGGCTCTAAAACAACGCATGCGGGAAAAATTAAATGTTATGGTGGAGAAGAGGAGACGTTGAATTTGGAAAGAAGTTTTAGGCTTTCAACCACTTATATAAAATATTTTGGTCATTTTTACAATAAAATTTCCACTTCAGTGCAGTTTTAAGCACGCTTACTCAAAATGGGAACTTTATTTGGTGCTTGCCCTTCGTTTTAAAAGGTGAAAAGTTTTAACAGAAACGAACTGAGTTGACATATCGTGTAACAAATGACCTTAAACTATTATTTTTTAACGATTCTAAAGTTAAACTTCTATTTGTCTCTGAAAGAAATTGAACACACCGTTTCTTCTTTTTACGTACGCTCAGACTGTTGAGTGAGATCGGAATCTGTTCCAAATTTATTTAACTCTCATCAAAAACGCATTCATTGCAGTAGCGTCTTCGCAGCCACCAGTATCGGTCATCAGTCCATTTTTGCTTCTATTTCAAAAAAATTCCCACTTGTTTGAGCAACGGTGTTGAAAAAGTCAGAATCATCTCTTAATAAACGTGTGTTACCATGACAGCAGAATACATTGGTAAACAGGCACAGGCTATGACGCCTGGAGCTGCATCACAATTAACCAGTAAGGAGTTTTCCACTTCAACTGATCATTAGCTCTGCAACGTGCCGTCGGGAGGTGAAATAATAACTTCATGAATTATTCTCCACAAAATCATTCCCCACGTGTATTTGTCGAAATGATTCCCAACGAGCAATGCATTTGGTATTTGAACATCCAATTATGAAGCCTAAATCAGAAAAGGTAGAGGAGGTAGCACTACTCTTCCCAATGGTATTCCACGAAAACTGACTTGGTTCAAACTAAGGTAACACACAAATATAATAACATGTTTTTTGCACGACTGCAATGTTTACCTTGCAAATGCGACCGAAAATTATTGCAATTATCCAGTAGTTGGGATTCTGATTAGTTACCATAATTTGGAATACTTCAGCTGTTTGTTCAACTCCCAAAAATAGGACCCATGGTAGCACTTTCTTAAACTGCCATGGCGTTCAGGGCCTGCTCAAGGTGATCGAGATCCTATGTAAGCCGCAACACATTTTCTGTTCTGTTACAATTACTTTCTGTCTTCCTTAAAACTCTTCAAAGAGGCCACATCCAGGCATACTCTCAGTTGGGCAAAGTTAGCGGTTGGCATAGCTGGTTTCTACATTCTTCGCTCTACAGCATAGGCTATGCTGCCGTGGCTGGTGCAGAAGTTCAACCTAAAGAATCGACGAAAACGAAGTGCCGAAGAAAAAAGTTTAGGTAGTACTATGAATTTTACCTTGGTTCGGCTCTCATTCGGGCTGCATGGCAGTACTAGTGGCTCTTAGCTGTTCGTTTTGTCGATGATCGACAGTTCGTTTACGATCCTGTGTACAAGTCAAACTTGACCATGATGCAGAAAATTTCGGACTTGAAAAAAGGGTTTTTTGCATTGATGAGATGGTGCGCAAAAATTATAAAATCCGTTTTTACATCAGTGCATCGCATGTCGGAAGATATCATTTCCCGCCATAACTTCTACCAGTGCACTGACACCTCCTTTTGCAATGATTAATGGCTATAACAAAAAAATATTTTTGACTAAAGGTATGTGGCAACTTATGGACGTCTGGACTTGATGTACAGAGTGGAAGTGACCAAAGCAATAATATGTATTTAACAGTCTTGATACAGCCGAAGTATGCTGAACACGTGGAGCAAATCGATTTGGCGCCAGAGCGTGGAGCACTGCAAGAGTGTCACAAGATCCCAACGCAAGAATCGATACTTTTCACCGTGCCAAAAGAAACGGCCCTTTTCAGGCTCTTACGATCCCCTCGCCCACCTTTGCACAGAGCGCAGGATGGCCAAACTCTCACCTGACGTCATAAACATCTTGTCCATTAGAGCCTACTACGACAACAAGACCGCCACCAACACTACCGAAATGGCCAACCTGCTAAAATACGAGAGCCAGCACTTTCGTTGTAAAGTGCAAATTGAACTGCCCGAATGTATTGCGGATCGATGTTGGAGCATAGGTCTGGTGCAGGCCTGTGATCGTATGTACCTCGAGAACCGCTATGGTCAGAGTGGCAGCTCATTTTGGGAATTTCATCCCCTTAAAAGCGGTCGTCATAAAATGGTTAACGATAGTGATGGACGTCAGTATCCATTTTACAGCCTAACAAGTAGCAAATTTGAAATTCGTCGTGGTGTAGTCTCTGACAGTTTGGTGTCTCTGACCTATGAGGATCATTTCTATCCTACAGTCGCATGGGAACTGCCATATTACGGAGGTGCTAAGCTCACTGATGTGATACGAAAGCAGGATTTTTGGGTGTGGCTTGTTGCAATCAAACGTGCAAGCTCAAGAACCACCACTACAGATGTTTTTAACGCCAAAAACGACGAGATATACATTCTCAAGACCATGCGTTGGCGTTATAATCTTCACATGACCTTCGATCCCAACCAGCCAATAGGAAGACGACTTCAGAGGATTTACGACACGCAAGAGGAGCAACCAGTAATTCTGGAAACTAATCGACCTTTACCCCTCTCTGCACTAAGTCCTCCACATTGCAATGCTGCTCAGTCTTTAATATGGTATCCAAACAATCCTAGTGACAAACCGAAGCTTTTAGTGCCCCCGAAACAGATAATCGTTCCCTGGGACACCTGGACTAATGACATGGCTCCTGGTCGTCATCTTACTGTGAAGAAACCAGACCAGTGTAAGCTGGTTGGAGAGTGGGCACATGACACAGAAATTGGTGTTGATGTTAGTACAATGTCGGGCGTTGTCAATGGCCGGGGTTGGGGCTCTGCGGAAGGTGGCAGTAGTCGACAACGCATGTCTAGTCGTGCACGCGCGTAGAATGTCGCCTCAGCTCTGTCTAATAGTACCATAGAAATCCATCGTTTCACACTGATTTGAAACGCCAGGAAAGAAGGGCATCATAAATCTCTTTCTTGCATGAGTTTCTGAGACATAGTGTGAGACAGCCACTCCTCCACCATACATTACCTTTCACCCTCACTACGATCACTTTGAGCGCCATTTTTATGTGGTACGTGTCAATTCCGCCTGAATTGCCAATTTTTTTGTTCTTATTCATTAAGAAGTCCACATGATTGCCTTGGCGCCGAAAATATCTCTCCCAAATTTTTAATTTATTTATTAACATATTTTGTTTACCAGTAAATAATTTCATCAAACACTAATGCCTACGAAAATGCGCTGTTTTGTCTACCTATTCATAACTGTGGATATGTGCTTTGTTGTGTAAAACTTTTTTGTTTACTGATCAAATTCCGTACTTGGTATTTTATTCACTCCGGGGATAATTCTTCCGTGTGCGACTGTTACTTTTCTGGGTGATAAAACTGCCTTCTGCAAGTCCGTACTAATTCATTAACTCTAACGAGAATGAATTTTTAAACATAGGAAATGTGAAATACACTTTCAATAGCTCATCTATTTTATAAATTATGGCTAATGGGACACCGCTCAGAACCGTCCTTATCGCAAACAAACCTTTTTATCCCACCAATGCAGTATGTAGGCCTAGACAGAACACAAAAATCATGCAGGTCACTTTTTTTTACTCGGTCAGTCCCACTGCATTAGCTAAAGCAGAATTCGTCATTGCTGCATTATTTTGGGCGACTTTTGCCCTCAATGCCCTTAATATGACCGTAGGATTGCGAGAGATGCCTTAAAAGCCGCCATACATTTTGCTTTGTCTTCCGCAATCACAAATGAAAAAGTTGACTTCATCCTACGCTTATTCATTCATGCAATCGCGAAATGCGCTGTCCTTTTCCGTGTCGATGTCCAGGCTGAAGGGAGACAGCCAGTCTCGGACCTTGTTTTGTGAAGTTCTTAATGGGTTGTGCTGACACAGAAAGGTTTGCGAGTCAGGCAGCATTAACTGTTGTGCCAACACTTTTATGAATGGCGTGATAGACGGAACGGAAAAGGTGAAGACCCACAGTTCACTGTGCCGATCTGTAGAGGGAGGTGAAATGTCAATGTGAAGTCTACAGGTGACAGCACAGCTCTCTTAATTATTAATATCAAAACTAGAAGCCCGTCCTATAGGTTAAGATGAGATCTTAAATTCGACCGGTTTGTGCCATCCGAAGGAGATGACTCTCAGCATAAGTAGTCAATTAGCGAGACAGTAGGCAAGGTTTATGTGATTACCTACTACTAAATTATTTTTATTGCTGCTGAAATGGAATTTCAGTCGTTGGAGGGTTGCATTATGGTTGGAGGTTGAGTTCAGGCATCGTTTAATTCTGCACAGTCGATTTTACCTTGCAAAGCGTACACGGAAGACCAAAGATGCTACATTTAGATGTGGTGTTACTAAAGCTATAAATTAAACTACTACTAAGAATAAACATCTGATGTAGGCAATCAACTTTGCAAAGTACATTATTGTGTTCTGTAAACACTGCCTTCCCTTAGGTGCACTCTTGGGTGTGTTTTTTGTTCTCCTTCTTCCTACCAAAAAGAAGGCGAAAGTGGACAGTACAACAAGTGGTCCTATGTTTCTGAATTTTGATTAACTCGAATTAATTTTTCGCGAGGGATGATGTTTTTTGTAACTCATTTATTACTAAGGCATAAGCAAGTAGGTGCTTATCTACTTACTTAACGGAATTAGCCCATCTTGACCGGTAGAAGGGCATGTATCGCCAATTTTCCTCCCAACTGACCTCGAATGATTGGTCAAGGTCAGGATCCTGAGGGTTGGCTAAAATGCCACTTGACACTTGAGTGGGGTAACTTGCCTTTTATCATCATTGTAGGGACGGAGTCCCCTTTTGCTCGTCTAAATTGCAGATTGTTGGGCTTTTATTCTCCTGGTGGTTGAATAATGATTGGTGGGCTTTCGAACAATGCCTCACAGCCTAGGGCAGTCTGACACGGGGTCAGGGTTTAGAAGGGCTAGGATTTGTGCATCCGCGAATGGCACAAAATGTCTACAAACCATAGTCCAAGAAGGCCGTACAACAGCCAGGAGA